CATGTCCAGGATGAGGACCTCTCGCCCATCCTGTTCGAGCGACCGCTCAACGGCTCTAACAGCCCTGCTGCGTTCGACAATCCCACGCAGCGTACCCGAGGCCATACTGACACCTCGGGTGCGGCCGCAGCCGCGCCGCCGCCGCGTCCTCTGCTCTCATCCCTCTTCTCGACCTTTTCGGCGTCCTTCTCGGGCTCCTCGCGCACAACGTCGCCCCACAAGACGCTCCCATCAATGATGCGCTCGGCATCGGGCACCTTGCCCATCACCTCCTCGAGCAACAACTCGTACAGCGGGCCCCTGTCGCCTTCGTCCAATGGCCACCCGCTCGCGCAGACGCTCTCGTCGTCGGCCGGGTGGGAGTGGGAGGAAGTGCTGTCGCACTCGCCCGTGGGCCTATCGCCGTCGCTCGTCGACTCCTCGCCGGCACTCGAGGCCCTCAAGAAGGAAGAGCTCCTCGTGCCCGTCGAAGCCCTCCGCTTCCACGATGTCGAGGAGATTCCCGTCGAGATCATCAACCTCTCGCCGTCGGTCGGCCAGGATGAGCCGATGCGGTCGCCCATGCCTTCCCCTGGGGCTGGCGGCGGGCGTCCGTCAGCTTCGTGGGACCGCCTGCTCGAACTTCCCACCCACTCCTCATACCGACTTCACAGAGAGTACTCTCTTCTCTCCTCGTTGCGTGCGTGTCATGCGTGCGCGCGCTGACGTGTGCTGGCGTGTGACAGTGTCATCTCGTCGGTGTGCGTGTCGATCAAGGATAATCGGGTATACAGCGCTTCGCAGGACGGCACGTTCAAGGTGTGGGACATCCGCGAGGAACGTCAACTGCGTAGCACCCAGATCAGCGACCTGGCCCTCTCCTCCTGCTGCCTCCACAACAACGACGCCGTCGTTATGCTGGGCTCGTGGGACAACAATATGTACGAACGCGTGTCGGTGGTCGTGTCGTTCTTGCCAGAAGTGAGCGGCGCTGACTAGGTTTTGTGTTGGCGCACAGTTATGTGTACTCGGTCGATCACGGTCGGGTGGTGGATTCAGCGCAGGCCCAC